GGGGGCGGATTCCTCAAACTGGCACATGGCGAGTATGGCACAGGGTCTATGACATGGCTTGGTTGGTGTGGTTTGCTGTAATGTCGTCAGACGGGGCTCTGAGGAGCTCCACTATCAATGCAGTTCCCTGGGCTTTATGCTATTCAAAGTCTACACCTTCAAGCTTCCACCCTATCCTAAAGCCTGCAAGTGCTTCAGAGTTCGCCTGCTGTCCAGATCCTGCGAGAAGAAGTCCAACCCACCTTCTAAGACAACCCTACACCACGATATGCATGTGTTAACCTTGCGATCACCTAGGACCTAAACCCTACTGTCCCAAGCCAGGGTGCAATATTTTAGGTTCAGGGTCGAAGGCTTGCAGGTCAGAGTGTGGCGATTCGGGAGTCATCTCTTCGCCTTTGCATTAGCTACAGCTACAATAGGGAGAACCATAGAGAAGGGGGGGTTGTTCATCGGGGGGTCTGCGTTGCAGGGTTTAAGGTCAGTGTTTGGCAACAAGACGAAGCAGATTTCTTCAAGAGTCGAAAAACGGTGGACTTCCCGAAAGACCCCAAAAAATAGGATCCTTATATACATTAACGACCGTCAGGTTGAAGTCCCTCTAAGTTTGAAGAGTTCTCTTTGAGATTCGAGGATCCCTGGTTCTACGACCGGAGGATTTCCAGGAGAAGCGAGAGGAAGCGACTGAGCTCCGGCGTGTGGCCTACCTGAACCAGGCGGCATGCCTCCTACAGCTCGGCGACTGGGTGAACCAATGGTGATTTCAGGGTTTAGGCCTCAGGGCTTGGGGCTTATAAGGGCCTTAGTCGGGGCAGGGTGTAAGGCGTTGGGCTTCGGGTTTAGGGCTAGGGAGACGTGCAGTGCAAGCACCATCCAATCCAAGAGGCAGCGGAAGGTCACACCATGATGACGTCACTACATACTACAGTTATACGATCATAAGACAAAACTTATGGCGCTTTTTTTTACAAGCGTTATTTGTATTATCGTATAACTGTACAATCATAATACTGTAGTTGCACTATCCTAATACCATAAAAAAAGCTGGTTCCAGACATCGCAACCGCAACTAGGGATGAGGATGTCGCTCTGAGGTTACTGGCGAGGCCACACCCTCCACTGACTCCGGTTTAGGGTTTAGGGTTTACGCCAGGTCTGTTCGTCCTAAAGCCTGTTCAGCTCAATATGTCCCCGAAACTGCCACAAGGTGAAGCGGCAAAGGTGAAGGAGCTCTGTGGCAAGGTCCTGCAACTTAGCACTGCAAGCCTCCTTCTTCACTTGTTTGGTGTAAGATCCCATTCAACTCTCCGTATGACCCTCAACTTCAATCCTGCCAAACCCATTCCGTTAAGTCTGCGAATGCCAACGGTTCAGCACCTCGTATCTGGGAGGCTGGGAAAAGCTTCAGATTTAAAAGGCGTTTGGGGTCGATATAATGGGGGTATGTTATGACCTAAGAAACCCTTCGGCCTACGGCCAACCTGGCGTTTCGACTTCTCGGTTGTTGTCCTTATGACCAGGCTTCACCGTAACAGCGCCCTTGCACGTTTTATCCGAGCCGCTAGTCACTAGACCGAGTGCCAAACCTCTGAATTCCATGCCCTAAACCTCACACCCTGCTTGTAAAGACCCCCGAACAGGTCCGCGAAAATTAAGTTAAAGAAACAAGCCAGCCGGCCAAATCTCGGTACACAAGAGCCCTTGAATGAGGTTAGATGAGAAGAGTGCTTCTTAGTAAGAGTAACTCCGGAAAAAAATCTTGCTGGCGCACCTTTGATCAAGGAGTTAAAAAGCGCGAATTTTCGTGTCATGAACCCTAAACCCAAACCCGAAACCCTAACTCCCCCCCTCGTAAGGCAAGAATGTCCTGCTCAGCCCAAAGCTCTCTTCCGGCGAGCAAAAGCGGCGATGGACCTCCAACAGCCTCGAAGCTGAAATTGAGGGCTTTAAGCTGATTCAGGGTGGCGTGGGATCTGGATTTCAGAGTTTTGTTGGATGGGATTCGGGAATTCTGATGGCAGGTAATGAAGAGGTTTGGGGTTGGAATTGAGGGCTCGGGCTTTCGGCGGTTTTGGCGACTTCAGAGCGTTTGCTGGAGCTTGGGCTTCAACTTGGCGGTGCTCTGGGCGAGGTGTGGCAGGCAGGCTCTAGGGTCTCACGGTTCAAGTGTATGAGGCTGTTTCTGTCATGGTTGAGTCGCTGCAGTCCGTCCTTGCTCGAGTTAATACGGGGTTACTGTGATGTACTGATACCAATCATTTACTATCCGTGGGTGCTGTGTTACTCGAAGCCGATCTTGTCAGAAGTGTATTTCGCAGTGTCATCCTGAATCGTGATGATTCCCAGGATCGTCTAGATATACCTGCTCTCTACCGAGGGCAGTGCTTCACCCCCGAGTGGACCTGTTATCCCATGGTGCCTGAGAAGCCTTAACGACGATCCTTCTCATGTAGTCGCTGAAGTCCAGAACTAGGTATATGTGAGAGATTGGACTTTGGCAGAAGCAGGCTGCGAGGTCTTTTAGGTGGGTGTATTTATTGGGGATGTATATTTAGGTCATATTTTACAGGGGATCATCCATTATAAAATCATACATCTAATTCCAACTATATTTCCTGTCTGAAAGCTTGCTGCAGCTATGGAAGTTTCACATGGCCAGACCCGCGAGCCACATGCCTTGCCTGGATTGTCCGAGCGTGGGCGCCGAAACCCTGGAACCCTAAACCCTAAAGCACTAAGTCATCCTCAGCCATGCGAGAGGCAAAAAAGAAAAACCTAAGTCAAGCAGCCAAAAAGGCACGAGGCCGCTGTTGAAGATCTGCAGCGCCTTCTGGAAATCGAGCCTGGCAATGCCCAGGTTTGGCGGAGGGTTTAGTTCTGTTAGTTTAGGGGTTTGGGGTGAGGGTTTACAGCGCGGAGGGGGGAGCAAGTTGATTCCGGGTTGCGGATTGTGAGCTCGGTGGGTCTAGGTTCCAGGGGTTAAAGATGAGACTAAGCTACCGCCTCTAGGGAATTGGAGGGCCACACTGGATCGCCTTGAATCAGAAGGCTCACCTAACTTAATCCCCAACCGGGCAAAGCCTTGTTCCTGGGAGTTCCCCGAAACTGAGGAACTCTGTGGTTCGACTTCAGGGCGGACCAGAATCAAGGGACCCGGGATGTGGAATCCCTCGCCCATTTGAACCAGAGCCTCAAGGATTGATAAACCAGAGTTTGAGGTTTGGGGCTTAGAACCCTAGATGTGAATCGGAATGTTGATGTCCTCGCACCTACGAGGCTTCGCGTTCGGGCCCAACAGGAGGGCAAAGACTTCGTTGGCCAGCAGCACTGCCCAACCACATTTCCCACGTGTATCAAAGCACATTTGGTGCTTCCAGAATGTATGTGCCTTTTCGACTGAACATGTATTTCGTGTCCTCTGTGCATGTGCATGTGCATCTGCGCGCATTTGTATGTGTGTATACATATGCATGTGCATCTACATCTGCATCCTACATTCTAAACTCTACATCTACATGTACATGCATACATACATACATACTTACTTACTTACGTACACACATACATACATACATACATACATACATACATACATACATGCATACATACATGCATACATGCATGCATACATACATACATACATGCGTGAAGGTATGTGTACATATGTGCACACACATATACATATATATATATATACATTCAAACATCGCTCCCACCGGCGTGTTCGTGCTTTTTGCGGGGTATCGAATTTGAGCCCTCTGATCGTGTCTACTAATATTAACACTGACATTGACACTGGCACTAACACTAACACGAGCATGAACATTAACACTAACACTAATTTATACTTACCAATTGTGATATCGCTACTTATATTAAATATTAACACGAATACCAATACTAAACTAATGCTAATACTAATACCAATTATCCATACTACCACAAAACGAAAAATTAACACTGACACAAGAATTAAGACTACTGCTAACTAATAATAAGGGTACTAAGATTGGAGCTAAGAACAAGACTGAGTCAAGACTAGGATTTAGACTAGAACTACGACTAAGATTAGGACTAGGAGCGTTGCATGAACGTGTAGAGATTCCCAAAACCTGCCAAGCACCTTTAAACATCCAGCAACTGCACAAAATCCAACTGGTTTCAAATTTTTTACATTTCTAACACTTCCAAAACTTCCCAAATTTTCGAAAAGGTATGCCCTATCTACACTATCTGGCAGAGTCGGTCCTTAACATTGCGGGGAGAATATTCGAATTTTTGGAAATTCTGGAAGGAAAGGGGGGGGGAGGAATTTTGGAAATTTTAGAAGCTTAGGAATTGAGTTTGGGAGGGGTGATTGTCGCCGGTTGGCACATCATGCCTGGGGACGGACACCAACTCTCCCTTCCCCCACGACGGTCTGTCGGGGGGCGGAGAATATATATATATATATATATATGTACATAGTTGTGTGTGTGTGTGCGTGTGTTTGTTTGTGTTGTGTGTTTGCGTAGGGTATGTGTCTGTATGTGGATATGCAGAAAGATATCGACTTCCGCAGATAGATCGATATGTGGGCAGGCAACACCTAATATGAATTTGTTTGCGTCTTTGCCTATCAGTCCGTATGAGTGCACGTACATATGGTGAAGGTGAAGAAGAAGGAACCCGAAGTGAAGTTCATGCATAGCAACATCTTACATTGCAGTCTGCGACATCATGATTCCTTACACTTCGCTCTGTTGTGCTTACAGCCCATCAACGCATGTTCACGTTCAGATGTATCGGCGCAAGCGCACTCTTACGCCGGTAAGAGTGCCATTCAGGCCCACCAGTTGCTCCGAGAGGTGCGCCATAAACTTCGGAAACAGGACGGCAAAAAAATTCAAGTTGCAGCTTACTTTTGCTTTAAAGATCTGTAGAGTTTGAAGCCCTATAAACCCTAAACTCCAAGCGCTAAAAGCCTGGGGCCCTGATCAGGACAAGGAGAGCTCAAAGACCTTCTCGCGGATGTGCGGAGGTCTCGGCACTATGCCCGAGCGCAGCGACCGAAGGGCCGCTAGGCTGGGTTTTAGGTTTTGGGGGTTTAGGGTTTTAGGGGTTTAGGGTTTGGGGGGTTTAGGGTTGAAGGGTCTAGGGTACAGGGGTTTAGGGGTTTAGGGGTTTACGGTTTAGGGCTCAGCTGCGCAAGCCTGTTCCTTCCTGTGACATCCTCACCTTTGTCACCAAAATAGACGTTCTTTGAGGTCCGGAGTCCTTGCAGTGTCAACTGAGGGGTGCACCAGTGGTACACCTTTTCTGGGCAAGTTGCGTTTTTGACAAGTTCACGGCGAAAACAAGAAACGGGTCTCTTGAGCGGTTTTCGCAGCCCAGGATGACGACCTCGTCATAGCTCCCAACCTGGAGGAAGAGTACGAGAAGCTTTCACAGAAGATCGGCGTTTCAGTGGATCGTTTAAAGCCAACCACATAAACTGACCTGTTGGGAAATGCGATGGACAGAGAGGAGTCCAAAGAGGTGCTTCCGCAAAACTGGGTGCAGGAAGGGAAGAGTCACAACAAGAAGTGCGTGATGGAGTTGCCGGCGCAGACTTGAGCCCTCCAGGCCCTGATGAGCTGCGACGAGGTTCTGGGAGGATTATGGCACGATGATGCACGGTCCTGCGCAGGAAAACAGCCAGATTCACCCGCTATGTTCCACTATGGGATTTTCAAAACATTCGCCTGACCAAGGTTATGCTGCCACCTGACCAAGCGCAGTTAGTTCTGTTACGATCTTCTGGCTGATTTTCGGATACCAGCTAAATGTAACATGGGTGACCCAGGGTGCCCTCGCACAGCGTACATCTGGAGCCTAGACAAGGCACCATTTCGTGGAGAGTTTGGAAGCCTTTGTGTCAAATATGGAAACCTAGTTGTTCTCACGACGAAAGGCTGTTGCTAAGGAGAAGAGCACCAAGACCTGGTAATGAAAAAGGGCAGAAGCCGTTGTGGGGCAGTCCCTGCTTCATAAATCTAAACCTTAAACCTCTACATAAGCCCTAAACCCTAAACCGCGCGAGTGAACCTCGCCTGGCTTGTCCGAGTTGTGAGAGCCTAAACCGCGCATTCGTCAGGCCATTGGTGTCCGGATGCCGCATCAAGTCCACGAGAGTGCAGTTGGTGGAACCGCTGTGAAGAAGGACTCGGTTTTACAGGGATGTCTGGACTCATCTGGGCCTAGGGTTTAGGGTTTTAAGGTTTTAGGGTTTTAGGGTTTTAAGGCCTGTGGAAAAGGGCCTACCGAGTGTGTGCCGAAAATCGGTTGTCATAGAATGATCCACAGGTACAGGCTTCAGGCCTAATGTATGAACTGACTTCCAGGAGCCACATCTGTGAACTGGCCCCTCGGTCACATCGAGCTTTTGGTCTGTGTTTAGGAATCGTGGGAATGGGGATGACGTAAGACCATAGTTGGTCTGCAGCGGAAGAATCTGACTCCAACTTGCTCCCATCCGCTACTTATCTGTGGCCCTGAATCCTAAATCCTACAGCCTAACGCCCAAATTCCTGTTACAGGGGCCCGAAATAACTAGCGACATTATCCCATAGAACTCCTTGAAACAAGCAGCATACTGTAGAATGCCCACCAGGTACACATTGGGTCTCACCTCAGCGATCGCCGTGCCTCTTACGCTGGAGTTTCAGCTCCACCTCCTCTTCCGTCGTCCAGTGCACGAGCAGATCTCTTTCAAGTTCCTTCAAGGCGCTTTAGGGCTTAGCGTTAGGCTGAGGGGTTTTGGGGCGTTAGGGCGTTGGGGGTTTCGGGTGCAAGGGTCGAGGCCTTTATGGTCGAGATGCAAGCTTCGGCGATTGCACAGGTCCTGATGACCAAAAGCGGTGGGAAGCAAACATGACCCTGGCCTGCCGATACCAATTCGCATGAGCTCCCAAAACCTTATGCCCTAAACCTTAAACCCTAAGACCCTCAACGCTAAACCCTATAAACCCCATAAGCCCTACAAGCCGTGCAGGCATGACTGTCCCCTGCTTGATTCTCCTCTGCACCACATTGGTCATGGCGTGGTTGGTCATGCCACTCGTGGCCCTGGCCAAGACCCTAAGGTGCACTTGAGCATTGTTGTAGTTTTGGGTGGTTTAGGTTTTAGGGCATCATAATGAACCGACATGAGCTTCATCCTAATCCAGAAGACACATGTACACATGCAGATGTAATCAAACTCTTAGGGTGTGTGCATGTGTGTGTGTACATAATACATATACGCACACATACATCTACATATATGTATATCTCTCTCTATATATATATATGTATATATACACACACACACACACACACGCTCGCGGCGGATGTACATTTATGTACATTTGCAGGTTTCGCTAGGGTAGTGTTCATTGGTGGGAGTCCCACGAGCTATCCAGGACCTCCATACTTGTCTACTCGATCGCTAGTGTGGCTTGGCCTGCAAGAGTCGTACCCAAGTTGCGGCATGCGTTCTTCGCGGTACCGGCAGGAAGTCAAGGATTCAAGGTTTCCCTTCTGGCTTAGGGCTCAGGCCTTCTGATCTAAGTTTGTTTCATCCTGTTTGCTCTGGCCAAGCATCCCGAAAACAATCCAAAACCACAGGCAATCTCAAAGATTGCAAATCCGCTGTTTTCACCGGTGTCGTAGTTTGCAAAACTCGCCAACGATTGGCCGATTGGTACGGTTTAGGGTACAAAATTAAAATGCCAGACTCACTGAAGATTGGCTGACTCGCATAGAACATCGGCTGCGCTGTTTGCTAAGGTGGCAACGCCGCACCGCCGCGGCCTCGGATGTGACACCCGAGACCGTAAAGCCCTAAATCCTTAGCCCAAGAAACCTAAGCGCTATTTACTTCCTCAAAGGGAGAACTCCAACTTTTTGGTTGGTCTAGCTGGTCTGAACAAGAATTGAACTTTTTGGGTGCCTGGTTCTTGAACAAGACAGCCTATAGATCGTAAATCTTTCTCAAGCGCGGATGTTATGGCTGCGCAGCGTGCCATGGTCTTTGGTGCTTTGCTCAAGTTTTCGTTGCACAGCCCCTGAAGCAAGGCCGAACTCCGTCACTCAGTCTGTTGGGTAGTGCTCTTTGTGTGGAGCCTTGCCTGCCTGGTGCGAGCATGAGAGTCGAAATCAGGGGCCCCCTTTTTCGGAACCCAAAAGAAGGCGGCACCCTTCTAGAAAGAGTCCTAAAACGGACCCTAATTTGGAAACTTACCCTGCTGGTCACCCGACATGTGAACCCGCAGCGTTAAACCCGAACTTCTAGACCCGAAACCCGAAACGCTAGATGCTACGTGCGAACCCTTGACACTATAAGTCCTGGATTATAAACCCTAAACGCTGTACTTCCTAAACACTATGTGATCCCTGAACACTATACATCCAAAACACTATGCTTCACAAAAAGCCGCGACTTGAGACTTCGTCCGGCATGTCCAAGTTCCGAGAGCGCATAAGACGTACGCCCACACCAAAGAACCAGCCAGCAGCTACCCCAAAAACCCTATAAACCCTAAACCCCAAAAAGCCCTAAACACCATAAACCCTATACGCCCTATAAACCCTAAACCCTATAAGCCTATAAGCCCTAAGCACCATAAACCCCAATTAAGCCCTAAAAAAAACCCCGACAACCCCTAAAGGAACCTGTAGGCCTCTAGAGACCTTAGACCCCACATACACCAAAAACTCATACTTTCGCTCTTGTTACACATGGGAGGTCCCGAAAATAAGGGGCACCTAAATCGGGGGTCCTTACAATAAGGAGCCTACGATTTAGGGTGCCATATTCGGGTCCCCTATTTTCGGAAACCACCCAAAATTAGAGAGGCCCTACAAGAAAGGGCAGGTGCTGGTTGGTTAAGGTAAACCATGGCATGGTAAACCTTGACTAGTCGTTTCAAAACCGAAATCCCCAAACTGTGTGAACTGTGGGTCTTGTAGAAAAGGAGCTCCAAGAAAAGCCCTAAACCCTAAACCCTAGCCACTTATTTCCAAGCCTTACACCCTAAACCCTAAAGCCCAAGCCCTAAAACCCAAACCAAGGGCTCCGGTTATGGCGTTTCGGGCTGGTCGGCTTCGGAGCTTTCCTCATCTCCCTGGTGCAGGCCTGGCCTGCTAGACCTGCATTTCAGGGGCCTTTCAGGGGTCTAGAAGGGTTCTTTTCAGGATTTCCTTGAAGGGATCCAGAAGGGTTCCCATTAAGGCTTAAGGGGTGTTAGGCTTTAGGGGTTGTTTGGGAGGGTTCGGGGTTACAGGGCCCTGCTTGTAGCGATTGAGCTGGGCTGTGCATCTTTGGGTGCCTGTGGGTTTCAGGTCGGGTAGAACTTCTTGGCCGAAGTCGATGCGACTCCTGTTCCTCCATCCTGAATCCGGATTTAGATCTAAGGAGAAGCTCTAATTACCACGAGTTTTGGTTGCAGAGTCTCGCATGAGTCCCAAGCCGCGTTCACCATGAACCTCATCTGCGAGTCCGAGTGTGGTAGCGTAAACCTGAACCCTAAACCCACGATACGTAAAGTTTTGATGCAATTACGTTGAGCCGAAACGGCTTCTTCAATCTTGCGAGACGGAAAAGAGGATGTCTGAGCAAAATCAAAATCGTCTTGCAGCTACTGCGCAACCCCCCGATGAAGGCTCGACCTAGCCATGCGGGAGGCAACAATCTCCAAAACCCTAAACCCTGCCCTATACTGCCCTATTCCCCCAAAGTTTGAGCCTAAACCATAAATCCTCAACCCTAAACCCTCAACCTGAAATCCTAAACCCTGAACCTGAAGTCCTAAACCGCATACCCATACAAATCCTAGACCCTTAAACCTGAAGTCCTAAACCCTACAGACCCTATGAGACCCCCTGAGCCCCAAACCAACCCCTGAATTGTCCAGGGTCTCCTAGCGGCAGCCTGGATCGTCTACGTTCCTTGGCCTTACCTTATCGGCCTTTGGGTTTAGGGTTTAAGGTTGAGGCGGGGTGTGGACTTGTTTTCTAGTTTGTTTAGGGCTTATGTCCTTAGCTCCTGGAGAGGATCGCAGGGAATGCATGTTTAAAAAAGAGCATTCGGGATCAACAAAAAATACTTAAACCCTCTCTCGTCCAGATCCCAAGGCCCACTGTTTCTCATTGTGTTTGTGTTTAAGTTCTGTATCCTCCATCCACTCCCAGGAAGAGTGTAGCCTTCGATGATGGAGTTTTTGAGGTTCAGCTCAATTGGAGCAGAGCCTAGTCGTGTTTCGCTGGCAACCTGCCCAGATCCTGTAGCTTTCCAGCATCTTCGCCAGCGCTTGACCGTAGCATACCAAGTCTATATTGCACGAGACTGAACTTCGATTTCAACAGGGGTTTGTAGAAAAAAGGACTAGGATAAGTGCTTCCCACAAGCCTGAGTACTGTACCCACCTACCGCAAGTTGTTTCTGGTACAGATGCCCTTTCATTCTCAACCCA